GAAGACTGTAGAATAATTGATGTATTTGAGTTATGATGTTCTAGAGAAATATTAAAAATACCACAGACTGCCAGAAGAACAAACAAATCTGTGTTGGAAGAAGTACATCCAGAATGCCCCTTAGAAGCCAGTCTGGCGAGACTTTGTCTCTCATACTTCAGACATATTATCAGGAGGGACCAGTCCCTGGAGAGAAGGATGTTATGCTTTATAAAGTGAAGGGTCAGTGAAAAAGAGGAAGAACTCCAGTGAGATGGATTGGTACAGTGGCAGCCGCAATGGGCTCAAACATAACAACAATTGTGAGGATGACACAGGACGGGGCAGTGTTTTGTTCTGTTGTGTATGAGGTCATTATTAATTGGAACACACTTGACAACAACAGCAACAGCAAAATGGGTAGAACTGTCATTAGAACCTTGGATCCAACTTCCTTTAAAGGAACTTCTTTCCAGTACTTCATGGTTGCTTCTAAAGTGGTGACTGGCTGTTACGTAAGGAGAAGAGTGGCAATCCTGTTTGGAGGTGCTTTTTGTAATATTCTAACTATAGTTCCCTGCAGATTGGCCAGTTTTTCTCTAGTCCTGGTGTGGCACTGTAGGATAAGCAGTGGAATGGTTAGCAGTTCAAACCTACCAGCCACTTCCCAGATACCCATAGAGGATCATTATGAGTCGTAAGTAACTCAATAGCACTTAATGATAACAATATCAGAAAAGAATGCAGCCCTGGTGACAAGATGTTAATGATTTGGCTACTCATCAAAATGCTGGTTGTTTGAACCCACCTAGTAGCTCTGCAGGAGAAAGACCAGGACATTCAACCCCATAAAGATCAAATCCAAGAAAATCCCTGTGGGCCCACATGGTTGGCACCTACCATAACCACATAAATTAATAGACATGAAGTCAATAGGATTTCAGTGTGCCTGCCATGGCTGCTGCATTGCCACAGTTAATGTGGTTTCTTCTTTACCTCGCCTCTGGATCTCTTTGCACAACTGGGATTTGACCCTTGCCTAATCAAGAGAAAAGAAAGCTGGTTTGTTTTGTTTTTTAACTCTTCCCCATACCGATTTTGTTTATGACCCCTTTATAATTTGGCAGGTTCGACACAGAGGAGGAGGCTGTAGCAATCGCTAATGCCGCTGATGTTGGGTTAGCAGGTAGGTGTTTATGTTCACCAGCCTAATAATCATTGTCTCAAGTGAACACTAGAGTTTGCCTTTTAAATATTCCCCTGGGATTTGTTTTTCAGCTGTATTTTTTGGAGAGTAATGAGTAAGTGAAATACATAAGGAGATACTGCGTGGTTTCGATTTGAATTTCCCTGATGACAAATGGTGTGGTGCCGTAGGATAAGCATTGGGCTGCTGACCTCAAGGTCGGCAGTTCAGACCCACCAACCACTCCTTGGAAACCCTATACAGGGTTGCTATCAGTCGAAACTGACTCAATGGCACTTAACAACAACAATAACAAATGACATTTACAACCTTTTCATGTGCTTTTTGACCATTGGTATTAATGTGTTATTTTAATGGATAGTCTTCATGCCATATTTGTCCCTTTGTCCCATCACCAGGTTATTTTTACTCTCAAGATCCAGCCCAAATCTGGCGAGTGGCAGAGCAGCTGGAAGTTGGCATGGTTGGAGTTAACGAAGGATTGATTTCCACCGTGGAGTGTCCTTTTGGGGGGGTGAAGCAGTCCGGTCTTGGACGAGAGGGATCCAAATATGGCATTGATGAGTATCTGGAACTCAAGTATGTGTGTTATGGAGGCTTGTAGGATCCTTCAGCTCTGTAAAGTAGATAAATAAACAAGGAACTTCCCTTCATAAGTGAGGACATACCATCCATTCTCTTTAAGTACATTTTCAGGGTCCTCCAAGGTTCTCTGAGGGTACGGACTTTTTAACTCATCCAATCCTTGTAATCTTAAATAGATTTTCATTATGCTCCTTCCATCATCCAACTAGGGACCAATATGTGCCACACAGTAGTGATAACAGACTTCTGGAAAATCAGGCTTACAGAATGACATCCTGGGACCTCCCACAATCCTCGTCTTCTCCAAAGCAGGGCTCAGCATGAGGCAGGCAGCCCTTTCTGCTCCATCCTGAAGGCTTGTTTACTGACTGAAATGACACAACCACTACCCAGTGGGCCCAGAGGACAACTTAGAAGAGTCTGAGCATGACCAGTGGCTGGTCAGGAGGCACGGCATCTCAGCAGCCTCTTCACTGGCAATCAGCCAGCTCAGCACTAAAGGCTCATTGTATATCCAGGCTTGTTAGAGTGGAGGTTGAATGAATTAATTATATTTTTTGACTAATGAGATGTTTTAAATTGTGGTGTAGTAAAAGTATATATAATAAAACATTTTCCATTGCAGCCATTTTTTACAAGTACAATTCAGTGGCATCAGTTATGTTCAGGGCGGGGCAGCCACCACCACTTTCCCTTTCTGAGTTTTCCCATCACCTGAAGGAAGTGGTTTATAAAGATTTCTGAAATCGCACAGAATGTCATGCCACTCCCGGGAGTGGAGTCACACCTCGTCCCCTTTCTGGACCATTTTGTAAAGTGATGTCTCATCACCCTGAGTTTACCACTTGAAGAGATAGGGCTGTCCCTGCACCTTGTAGAAAACAACAACACGACAGTCATGTCAAGAGAAAAGAATTTCCATAGTTCCCAGGTCCTCTACAGATTGAATTTCAGGCACTTTTACCTAAGAAGAATTGCTACTGTCATCACAAAAAGCCCCCATGACCTGTGCTACCTGTAATTAGAACCCAGAATGAAAAACTTTGAGTAGGAAAGTTTTGGATTTCTGGATTTGTCTGGTGTCTGCTCTCCCATCCCTCCTGACACAGTGAGAAATAGGAATGAAGGCTGTTTCTCGCTGAACAGGCAAAGATGAAACTCCTTCCCTTCCACTCTGTCTTCATGAAGGAGCCACTAACATTCTAGGTATTCTGGGTAAGCTAGAACTTGAATGAAAGTCCTGTTCATTGTAGTCATTACTGAATCCTACGTAGTACTTAGCATCCCTCACTGACCCTTTGAGGGAGCTGTGGTTGATTTAATCGGAGGGTCTGAAAAGTCCATATGTACCTAGATATGGCTGCCAGGTCTGGAGCTGCTTCCCATTTGACCTGGGTTACACTAGCCATACCCCAAGGTCTGAAAGAGAAGTGAGCTGAAATTAACTTCCCTGCATGGAGAGATGGAGCAGCTGGGGACTTTAGACTCAGAGAGGGAGAGGGGCTGTGTGCTGACAACCAGGGGGCAGGCTTATAGTGTATACCTTTGGGTTGGTTGATGATGCATGGAGGGGATTGTAACCATGGCAATGAAACAATATACGATAGGATGAATGTAAAACTAATGTTCTCCCATGTAAACCATCATATAATTCACAATAAAACATTTTAAAAAATTAACTTCCCTGGGGGTCCCTGGGTGGTACAAACCATCTACTCTTGACAACTCAATGAAAGGCTGGTTGTTTGAGCCCTCCCAGCAGCATCTTGTAAGAAATACCTAGCAATCCGCTTCCACACAGATTACAGCCAAGAGAACCCTCTGGAGCAGTTCTATTCTGTACTACGTGGGGTCACTAGGAGTCAGAAGTGAGTCAATGACTATGGGAAATACTGCCCAAACCCAGTCAACAATCAGATGCTTAGTGCTGTGATGGCTAATATCTACTCCATTTTTATAGTTATTAGGTTTTATATAGCATTCTAATTGTAAATCACTAATGATTGTAAGACATGGATGTGTGTGTGTTTCCCATTAAATATAAAAAAAGGTTCTAACATTTTTTCAATGTCTGGAATACTGATAATAAATGTTCGGAGAAATACTTGCAAATGAAAGTGTAACTTTGTAAGAGGGTGGGTCCCCTGAATGAATGGGAAGTGATGAGTTGTCTGGTACAAGAATTGAGGGCCAGAGACTTGTTGCAATATCCTTAATTAATTTTATAATTAAGAATACTTTTTGTTATTTTTTGGCAATGTAACCATATGTGATTGATGGGATTTTTTTTATGCTTTACACCATGAAATAGAAAGGCCCATTAGAGCAAAGGTGGCAAATTGGCCATTTGTGTCTTACAATCCCCAATGGTTTTTATATTTTCAAACGGTTGGGGGATGGGGGGACTAAAGAACAAAATTCCATGACACATGGAAATGATATGAAATTCAGATTTCAGTACCTATAAATACAGTTTTATTGGAGCTGAGCCACACTCATTCATTTATGAAATATTATTATGGTGATTTTCATGACAAAGTTGAGTGGTCGTGACAGACATTATGGTCTGAAAAACCTAACCTTTGACTGTTCAGCTTGCTGACCTCTGATCTAGACCAAGAGGAGGCTATTGGCCCTTCTCTGTTTCTCACAGACTGTATAAAAGGTCCTTTTCTGGACACTACTGTGGTGAGCTCTCAGCAGGAACTTTGCAGCAATTATCACATAACTCAGATGAAATGACCCAGATGACAAGTGCCTACTGGCCAGTGACAAAAGAGTCTGCATTTATTTCTTCCAGCTACACAGGGAACTCTCATTTAAAGAACTGACCCCACCTGAGAGCTTTCATCCATCGGAGTGACTTTTAAATATGACTTTGTATGAAGTGCTTTTTCCTATTTCCCTGTCTTCCTCTGTGTTTGTGAAAACAAAGACTCAAAGTACAATATAAACAAATCCATTTCACTGCTAACAGATATGACTGCCTATACAGTACCACTTGGCAGCCTTCTCAGAGAGCTATATGCCAGTGCTTCAAGGACTCATGCCCAGCTATTCTAAGATCGTATCTTAATTGAATAATATCTATACTGTGATTTTTTTTCATGCTCCACTTTGTAGAACAAAACTTGAGAAGAAGTGTCATGAGAAATGGATAAACATTTTGCTTTGTAATCCTGCATAAAACTCAGTTTTTCCAGTCTTCGATGATTGTGTACTTGCATCCGTGCCCTGTCAGCAGAGGGGTGTGTGTGTGTAATGAATAAATGCAGTTAATGTGACAGAACATCCTATTTCTGCAGTAAGGTTTCTGTTGTGGTTGTTTTCTTGTCAGGTCATCATTTGAGTTTTTGTTGGATGTTATTAGACTAGTTCACGTCTATGTGTGTCATATGTGGTACTCCCACTGCAGAGTGCCTTGGGGCAGGGAGTTTCTTTGTGAAATTCCATACCCCGGCACCCAGAGGAGGGCCGCCATTGTGATGGAAGCCCTATCTATTTCCCAGACTTCTGGGCTAATGTGGGTGGCTTACAACAACAAGAATTTGCTATCTCACAATTCTGGAGACCAGAAGCCCAAATCCAGGGTGTCAGCAGGGCCCTTGTGGGGATGATCCTTCCTCATGTCTTCTAGTTTGGTGTTCCTGGCAATCTTTGGTGTTTCTTGACTTGCAGCTTTATCACTCCAACCTCTGCCATCACCGTCACATGGTCATCTACCCCCTATGTGTGCCTTCTCCTCTTAGACAATCACCAGTCATATTGGTGGTGATGCTGTTAAGTGGAATGGAGTCAGTTCCAACTCAGTGACCCTGTGTAGGATTTCTGGGGCTTGTAAATCTTTTCTGGAGCAAAAACCTTCCTCTTTCTGCTGCTGAGCTGCCAATCTTGTGGTTTAAAGTCCAGTGCTTATCCTATGGAGTAATTTATTTCTGTGTTACCTCAAGTTAACAAATGTTAGTTGAGTTTCTCTACACTAATAAAAATAGCTCTGAAAAGGAAATTAAGGAAACAATACCATTTACATTAGCCACCAAAAGGATGAAATATTTAGGAATAAATCTAACCAGAGAAACAAAGGACCTATACAAAGAAAACTATAAAA